TATTCAACACAGTCACGTCATCTTTCTGGAATAGCCTCCTAACTCTCCAAATCCCAAATTCCCGCCTGCATTTCCTGCGACTCCACTTCCTGTGGCACCACTGGCCCCATCACTGGAGTCAGCGGTAACCTCTCCTTAGATGAGCACTTCCTTGTCTGCGCAGCCGCTCAGAGCGTGTTGCCAACGCAGCCGTGGGAGATTTCGCCCCAAGAATTCCACACCTAGGTCACCACCTCTTGCAGGCTGGGCTCCTGAGCTCCCATTAAAGCTCCAGTTCGTGGAAGACTCTGGAGACCACGAAAGTAATGACGGTTAAGAATGGTGGTCTGCCCTGAAGCGGTGAGAAATTGCAGGCTCCCAAAATTCAGAAAACGTTTTCTTATTTCCCACGAGCTCATTGAGTAGGCCTGTCACAACCCACAGCAACCCTGAATTATGAAGATTCATATTAGACAGCACCGCGTGCGTTCATTATCAGGGGGGCGGTATTCACGCATTGTCTCTGGGCTCCAGCTGTTTGTGTAGGTGCTTACTGCTCATCCGAAGGCACCTGCTTAGGTATTTCCAGATAATTATCATTTATGTTATCATTTACTTTAAAGGATTAATATTACAATATGCCCCCACGAAGTCCAGGTTCAGAGTTCTTGAAGAGGCTTTAGTTGTTTGTGGATTTTTCTTCTTTCTTTCTTTTTTTTTTTTTTTTTGTTTGTGGATTTTTCCTTAGAACCTAATTGTTCAAGGAATCTCAGGCACTGTCTTGGAAACTGCAAATACTGTGTCGTGGGCAGTTTCTTTGTTTTTTGTTTTTGTTTGGCAATTCCTTTCTTTGGCCGCAGGTTTGTGCGTAGCCAATCCAAGAGCATCATTCGGTTCTCTTTCTTGCCCACTGGCGGCCGCCCCGTAACCCATCTCTGAAGGGTCAGTATTCCGGCATCTTAATGGATTGCTGTACAGCTGTCTCAGGTGTGCTCTGTTGATTTTGCTCCTCTTAAAGCCTTAAGATCGCTAAGATGTGGGGCCGGGGAGATGGCTCAGTGGAATAACTGCTTTGCTGGCAAGTGCAAGGGCCTGAGTTCAATCTCTGGTTCTGCAAAAAAAAAAAAAAAAAAAAGATTGCTAAGATGCTACCAAAACCTTCTGCACCTTCTAAGGCTTCTGGCAATGAACCTGAGTACCAGAGGAAGCTTAAGACACTCAGGGAGAGGGTTGAACCACTGGGCAGTATTTTTATTAAATTAAATTATTACAGAACTGTATACAGCATTTTATTGCATTAAATTACTTACCTGTAGGAGACATAGCATATTTAAGGTTTAAACTATAAAAGTAGGTGCTTCTCTAGGCATTGTGTGACCATATGTGACATTTGTTTTTTCCTAATTTTCAGGTGCTCTAGAAATGTAATCCCCAGAAGTTTTGAGAGGCACACTGTATTCATTTATATTTTGTAATTTTATCATTTTTAATTTTATAATTTCAATTTTGAAATTTGGTAAATTTTATAATTTACATTTTATACTTTTACTCATTGATATTTTTATATATTAATACTGTTTTATAATTCAGCGCATCTATCATGTGTTGCAATGGACATGTCACCTGAGTTCATCTGGCTAATGATCTAACTGGTTTATTTTGGAGCGAGGGCTTATTTTCCAGTGAGTTCTTACTTTTGGGGAAATACAGTAGGTGCCAAGCAGAAGGGACAAGCGCTGCCCCCAAATCAGCTTAATCCCAGCTTTCCCAGAATTCCCAGTCTCTTGGGAAAAAAAAGATTCATTGAGAGCCGCTGAACTCCTCCAGGTGTGTTGCCAGAGGTGCAGGGGCTGTGGGGAATCTATTGGTTGGTTTAGTTGTTCATTTAGCATTTTCAGGCTGGGCGGGGCCTGGCCCTGAGCTGCTGGCTGTGCTCGGGGGAGTGGGAGGCAGGCCTGAGCCCACTTCGGGCTCCGCTGTGAGCCTGAGGGTCAGGGTGAGGCTGCCTGGGGGTCTGCTGGCCTCTGATCGGGGTTCTGCTTGCTGGCCTTCCTGTCCTCCCTTCCCCCGGTGTGCAGACTCCAGTCTCACTTTACGAAAGAAGAGGGTGAAACTCATCCAGAGTTGGGATCTTTTGAAGGCAAATCTCCTACTTGATGAGACATTGATACTAATCTCCCAGCTACTTAACCCTGATTTAAAAACCTGCTTTCTGGTGCTGTCTCACTAGCGAACATAAGTAGGAGCGATTATCTCTTGTTCCATTTTAGTTTGGCG